CCCATCCCCCACAGCTGCCACTCTCCAACCTGCAGCACTGAAAGTGCTATGAGCACCATCCCCCAGGCCAGGCTGACCATCACGGCTGACCAGGTGAAGAGGGAGCTGAAGAGGCTGCACCAGGGTAAGGCCACAGGATCAGACAACATCTGTCCCAGAGGTCTGAGGGCTTGTGCGGATCAGCTGAGCGGAGTGCTCCAGAGACTGTTCAACCTGAGCCTGCGCTTGGAGAGAGTCCCGGTGCTCTGGAAGACATCATGCCTGGTCCCGGTACCAAAGAAAGGGCACCCCTCTGTCCTCAATGACTACAGACCAGTTGCACTGACTTCTCACGTCATGAAGACACTGGAGAGGCTGGTCATGTCCCACCTGAGACCCCTGGTCAGTTCATCACTGGAAACCCAGTGGAAACAGTTCGCCTACCAGCCCAGTGTTGGTGTGGAAGATGTAATCATCTACCTGCTGCAAAGGGCCTACTCCCACCTGGACAAGGCTGGCAGCACTGTGAGGATTCCGTTTTTCGACTTCTCCAGTGCCTTCAACACTATCTAGCCCTTACTGCTAGGGAAGAAGCTGGAGGAGATGCAAGTCAGTGCCTCCATGATCTCATGGATCACCGACTATCTGACAGGCTGACCACAGTTTGTGAGACTTCAGAACTGTGCGTCTGAACAGGTTGTGAGTAACACAGAGGGTTCATCAGGGGAAAGTTCTTTCTCCATTCCTCTTCACCCTCTATACTTTGTTTGAGTACAACTCAAAGTCATGCCACCTGCAAAAGTTCTCTGCAATTGTGGGATGTATCAAGGATGGGCAGGAGGAAGAGTACAGAGGACTGGGCAGCAGCTTTGTGGAGTGGTATAGGGAGAACCACCTGCAATTGAATATGGCAAAGACGAAGGAGTTGGTGATAGATTTCAGGAGGAAAAGGGTCCAACCTACTCCTGTCTACATCCATGGGAGTGGCGTGGAGATAGTGGACTCATACAAGTACCTGGGAGTACACATCGACAATAGACTGGAATGGTCCAAGAACACCGAGGCCATCTACATGAAGGACTTGAGCCGACTCTACTTCTTGAGGAGGCTCAGGTCCTTCAATGTGTGTAGTAAGATGCTACATATGTTCTATCGGTTGGTGGTGGTGAGCGCCATTTTCTATGCAGTGGTATGCTGGGGCTCTGGGATTAGAGCAGGGGATTCTAACAGGCTGAACAAGCTCATCAGAAGAGCAAGCTCTGTCATTGGGTCTGGCCTGAACCCTCTGGAGGTAGTGGTAGAGGAGAATGGTGTCCAAACTAGAGGCCATCATGGACAACGTCTCCCATCCCCTCTATGACATGCTTGTGGAAATGAAGAGCACGTTCAGGACTAAACACGTGTTCTTGGACTAAACAGTAAACTCTCTGCTACATCTGGCTTTCCCGTTTACAACCGTTTTTGTGCAATATATTTATATTTATATTGTGCAATACTTCTTTTGTGTATGCTCTGGTTTGTTCTTTGTATGTTCTGGACTGTGAGTAACTCTTCTTAGTGCACTTCTCACTGACTGTACTGATTGTATTGTATGTATTGCAACAGAGCTCGCTGTATCACCTGTGAATATATATCCAATACCACACACATTCAGGGCCCCTCAGGACAATTCTGGATCACTCAGATGACATCCTGTACCTCCAGCAACCTTATTTACTGCATCTCTTGCAGTAAAAGCCCAGCTATCTCCACTGACACACACCTCATGTGCTAACAGGAACATGGTGAAACATGGTGAAACAGGAAGGAGACTGGGAGACCGCACATAGTTTCTCATTTCACCTCTTACGGCAATGATCACACTAATCTCTCTGTCTGCGTTCTCAAAGAGTGGTTTCTGAACTCCTACTGCAGAAAGACATCCAAAACCAAAATGATCCTGAAACACGGATCAGATCTTCCCCCTTCTCTCAGTGACAGACGAGTTTCCTCCTAATCCTCTCTATTCAATTGCCCCTCTCTTCACCTCTCTTGACTTCGCCCCACCTGAGTGCCCACTCTGCCTCCCCCCTGCCCCCCCCTCCTCTCCACTCCCGGCTTCTGTTCTCCCAGGCTGTATCGGCTGCTGACTTCCCTCTCCTTCTCACACCTGAAGAAGGCTCCACAGCCGAAACGCTGAGTCTCTTTTCTCCTCATTTCAGCTGGAATAAACCTTTACTTGTTCCTTTTCTAAATTAGGCCCATGTATGGTTCACCTGTAAGTCACAAACCTGTAGGGGCCAGTAGTTTGCAGAGAAAATCAAGTCTAGGCTGCATACTTCACTAAATTAACCAACATGTCTGACGTAGACGTTTGAACTGTTACATTTCAACTGAGCTCATAATCTGTCATATTTCAATATCTTTAACTTTAAATCTCGATTAAACGTGATGAACGCGGGGAGCTGTAATTCAGCTCAAAAGCAAGCGCACACTTTAGATTCCCAACCCGGTGCTGGAAGCGAATATTTGCACAGCAGGTGGAGCATGCGGATGCCCACAGACACAAAGACAGATGCCCCGGAGAACAAACGGATTCGCTCTTCACAGCAGATGTGGTGGCACAGCGCAGCCTCCTGTGCCCTCTGACCTTGGCCTGGCTTGGCACTGAGGCGGTGCCACGTGCCCAGCGTGTGCAGGGAGATGTAGTTGGCCTCGAACTCGCAGTTGGGGTTGAGCAGAAGCCCCCGCAGGTGGGCGCGCAGGCCGGGGGGCCGTCCTTTGAAGGGGCCCAGGAAGACGCGCCTGGAGTCGTAGTCATTGGCGTGAAGGTTGTCCCACACCAAGGGGGGGCGCTGCAGCACAGCCTGCACCTCCATCACAGAAGCCACGCTGAGCTCCCGCGAGATCACCTTATTGCCTGCCGGACAGACACAGGAGCACACTGTCAGATCCCCACACTGCGAACCAGTCACATACTGTCACTGAAGCACCGACTGGGCAGAGTGTCAGTGTGTCTCTGTACATTAACACATGAGGCGTGTGTCAGTGCAGTGTCAGTGTGTCTCTGT